CCCCCAACCCCTTTGCCTCTCTGCAGTGCTCAGGTACTTCTGTTGGTACCAGAGCATATAAATGTCTCTTTTAAACTCCCTAATTCTACTTCTGTCTTTAGAGGGATCTCTCTACAGAGGTCTGCCGTCAGGCCCAAAGCACACCAGGAACTGCAGAGCACTGCTGCTCAGGTGTTATTGGTAGGTACAACCTTCCTGGCAGTTTGAGACCCCAAAGAATCATTTCGGACATTCAGACCTCTGATACAACCCTGTTCATTACAAGGAGCTGGGCAAGGGGTTCTTTGTGCATCTCTCCAAGTTGCCATCTTTCCCTCAGCCCCACGAGTGCTCCCTCAACTCCTTCACAGGGCCACATCTGCGCTGCTTCTGGAGCTGCCTTTCCACTGCCTCCCCTCCTGCCGGTGTCTTGCAGCCACCCTCGGCCCGAAAACAAGAGAAGGTGGCACACCTGGGTGCCTTCTCAGTCAGAAACACCTGCAGATTGTTGCTGTGGGTCTTGTACTTGGTGGTGGCGCCTGGCTGCACATGGATTTCTGAGGCCACCATTACAGGAGGGAACTTAGTTGTTTCTTACATGTATCAGAAAGCACAGCTTGTGGGGAACCTTCCTGTCACAGGACACCTGACACACTGTCACAGCAGCAGTGACATTTGACCAAAGAAAGGCATTATTGGTTATTATTACTAATTTCTGTTATCTCAGCTTCCTCCGATGAGATGAAAGCTTGGCTTGATAATCTAATGGAATGTGTCCTCTTAGAAAATAAAAAACATTTTTGTCTGATTTTCTAAGGACACAAAGCTTACACAACAGTATTATCTATCCATCCATCCACTCCTCCCTCCCCAGAACATGCTACCCACCTTGGCAAAGGGATAAATATATTTAAATATCTTTTTCTATTTGAAAGATAAACTAGGAAGAAGAGAGTCGAATTAATGCCTCCTCAGAGGGAAAACCTGCTGTTATTTGTTCTGTTTGATCTGGGGCACATGCATTGGCAGCCAACACCCCAAAGCACATGCTGCCCCTGGCAGGCAATAGTGAGGGGACAGGCAGAAGCCAGCAGTACCGACGGGACTGTGTGGTGACAGACAAGGTAGGTTACTCCCCTGAAGTGTATCTGGAAATAAGGACAAAAGCCTGTAGAAATCTCTAGAAGCTTTACAAATCCTGCTGCTCTTGAAACAGCTTTCTTTTTTTCAGTCACCTGAGTCCATTCACCTTAGCAGCACAGCCATTATTCAGAAATTTCCGTATCACCTCACATGGGGATGTCTTCTGTTGCAGGTCCCACAGATCAGACCTACTCCTCATGGTCTGTGTGGAGGCTCCAGGCCCACCCATGGGGTTTAGTTCTTGCACCAAACCCAGCTTGGTAAGTGGTGTCTTCTTTCTTCTTTTATCCAAGCAAACCCTTTGCCAGAAGTCAGTCACTGCCTCTTTGCAGACATCCGTAATTTTTTTATGTTCTTATATTAGCTCCTAGGACAAATGCACATTTCACTGACAGCTTCCAGATTTAACTATTTATTTGCATAGTGCATTGGGCTCGATAGGGAATTTTTTTCACCTTGGCAGGGACTGGCAGCTGAGTTTCACTGTGGCCTTTCTGAAAGGAGGCTTGCCCCGCATCCCAGCACCTTGTCTTCTACGGGGTCGAGATGCTGCTGCTGGTGGTGACGGACATCTACGGAGCTGTAAGGACACCCAGAACGGCAGCAGCAGAGAAGGCTGTGGCCAGACCAGGTGTGTCTGCATCCACAGCAGATTACTTTAAAAGAAAAGGAGGTGGGAGAAGGAGCTATGAAGCCAGCACGGGAGGGTGGACAGCTGAGGGTGGTAAAAGTGCGACTGGGGCTCTGTGTTGGCTAAAGACCACCTGGCACCTGAAACATGAATGCGCGACCCTTTAGGTACTTTTGACGGTATCAACGTGGGGCACAGACATGCAGGCTTGATGAGGCCTTGCACTGAGTCCCCCTCCTGATTCTGAAAGGGCTGCCCCTTCCCCGGGCAGGGTCTTGCATGCATACATATGTGTACATATATGCCTGTCTCCCTATGTGGAGGAGCAGCGTCGGGATCCCTGAGGGAGCGGTGCAGCTCAGTGGAAGGAACTGCCTGCACCTCCCGCCTGAGGTGAAAGGATTTCTAAAAACTAATTCCCCAAAATGAGTGCCAAAAAGCTAATGAGCTTTGCTTCCCCACCCCCCCTGCCAAGACATCCCCCCCTTCTCGGGTGCTCACGTGGCAGCCAGGCTCACCGCAGCTCTGCTCCTCCGCACGTGGCCTTCCCCTGTGAGGTGCCATTTGCCAGAAAACTAGGTGCCAGGCAGGGAGAGAACATGAGAAAGACTCTTGGGATACCAGAAGTTGTGCTGCCCTGGGCAGGAAGGACACCTAGAGCTGCCTTTGTGCATTTCCCTGCTCCGGAAACGCTCTGGGAGCCTGGGCAGAGCCAGCTTTGGGAGCTCTCCAAACAAGCCTTGGCAGGAGGCAGAGCCCAGGAGGTTCCAAGAGCAGCAATAAACCAAGGCGTTTAAAGCAGGATGGGGAAATCCAAGGACAGTGATTGCTGGGCCTCTGCCAGGGTCCGTGGGAGACCGTTGGGTGGGACAGCAAGAAAGATACATGCTCCTCCGGCTGCTTCCTTCTCAAAACAAAGAGGGTGGCTGTAAGGACCTTGGCTGTCCCTCAACCATCCTTTCCCAGGCTCACTCACCTTTCCCAGGAACGACGTGGCCCCCGGCAGGAGCAGGGATCCTGCAGCATCATGGCCCAAGAGGTCAGAGCCTGATGGACAGATACAGGAGTCAGCTGAGCCTGGGGAAGGCACGTGGGCTGAAAGAAAACAACCAATCCTCTGAGAAGCCTGGGCAGTTTGGCTGCTGATGATCCTCAAAAGCCAAGATATGAATGGTCTCGAACAGAAGATCCAGCCTGCCGAGAGCTTCTTTTGAAACATTGCTTCTGTATTGAATCCCCACCATAGCCCCCAGGGGCAGCATCCAGCCGTGTTGCAGTTATCCTCAAGCCGTTTGGCTGAGGAAAACTGAGGCCATCTCACTCCCTTGGAAGCAGGGCTTTCCCTCTGTGCCTCAGCTTTGCTGGGGTACAGACAGGGGAGCGTGCCTTGGTATTCAATTAGAGAAACTATGCAGCTTTTCATCCTTCCCAACCATCCGCCTGGAGGGCCTCAGCACTACTGAAAGCCCACAGCTAAGGCAGGCAGAGGAAATCCACAGAGAACAAGGGAAATACACCAAAGAGCACCTCCAGCACTGAGTATTTTTCCGGTTTCAAGTGAGCCAAATCTACTCTGGCATCTGGGTTTAGAGATTTCCATCCCAGCCCTGGGTAAATGTCATTTTTGGGAGGATTAATCCAGATGGTAACGAATAACCCTACTTCCTGGGAGTTTCTGCTAAGTCTGTGCCTCCCGAGGCTCTCACGAAAAAGTAGTTTTCTGAGGTGCTGCCATCCGTAAGCTAAACTGAAGAGACGAGCACCCACTGAAATAGGCAGTCTCAGGAGCTGCCAGGGCCAGGACTGTTGCAGTGGGGAAGGAGCCAGCTGGAGCTGTCATCTCATCTGATCCCTGCTCTTGTCCTTGCTGCACCTGGATCTGCCTTCAGGAAACACCACCCCTGCCCCGGGGGCACCAGGACCTGCCGCTCCTGCCTGGAGGGGGAACTGCAGAGAAGAGGGAGGGGACAATCCAGCTGGGAAGGGAGAGAGGTTATTGGGAATGGATGGGCCCGGTCCTGTCCCCTCCTATCCTGGGGAGAAAGGGGCGAGGCTGGATGAGACATGGCGCAGAGCTCCTGAGCATAGAATCATAGAATAGAATCGAATCATTGAGGTTGGAAAAGACCTCTAAGATCATCGAGTCCAACCGTCAACCCAACACCACCATGCCCACTAAACCATGTCCCTAAGTGCCTCATCTACTCGTCTTTTAAATACCTCCAGGGATGGGGACTCCACCACTTCCCTGGGCAGTCTGTTCCAATGTTGAACCACTCTTTCAGTAAAGAAATTTTTCCTTACATCCAATCTAAACCTCCCCTGGCGCAACTTGAGGCCATTTCCTCTCGTCCTATCACTTGTTACTTCGGAGAAGAGACCGACACCCACCTCGCTACAACCTCCTTTCAGGTAGTTGTAGAGAGCGATGAGGTCTCCCCTCAGCCTCCTTTTCTGCAGGCTAAACAACCCCAGTTCCCTCAGCCGCTCCTCATAAGGCTTGTTCTCCAGACCCCTCACCAGCCTCGTGGGCAGCGCCCACGGCTTTCCAGGAAGCCCCAAGAGCTAGCTGTCCACAGGACCTCTGCCCAGAGCCACCCCACAGGCACCCAACCGAGTCTGTTCAGCACCTTCCTCTGCCCCACCCCTAACGGCTGTCTGCTCCAGCCAGTGCTCCTGCAGCCATTCCTCCTCCACTTCCCTCCCACCAGTCACTCCCATCCAGGCCTCTTTTACTATTTAGGACATCGCTTTCTGCCCAATGTTTTTCCCCCCAAGTGCCCTACAGCGTGACCTCCTCTGTGCCCTCCACCCCAGTGACCAGCACGCCTCTGCAGGTTACAGGTCCTGCAGGGCAGGAACTCTCTGCCGCTCTCCTTGCACAGGGCACGATGCAACACAGCCCTGTTCTTGGTTGCAGCGGCTGCAGCAAGCACAATTAAAAGTGATGACAGCATTTGCATCACCTGCTGTCGCTGCCCAGAAATGTTTCCCTATAGCGTGGGCAGACAGACTCAGTCACAGAATTGCTTAGGAATCCCATCTGCAGCTTGCACTCTGCAAGGCAAACTCCCTCTGCCAGGCTGCTGTGTGATGGCATTAAAGGTCTTTAGTATGAAGCCTTCCTCCCACCTCTCAGGGGTCTCTACGCCTGCTCCTCTCAATCCTTCATCGGACCTGGATCCTTCCTGGCTGATCTGGGGCTCTCCCCATTGTCTTTTATCTGCTGAAGTTCCTACGAGGATCTGAATACTGAAGTCATCACTGCCTTCCCTGCCTCTTCAAAATGCAAGTTTATTTTCTTCAATGAAGAAACACCAGTGAGGAGGGGTTTACAGCTGAGGCTCAAACCTGCAAGGAAAACACTGTCGTTTTTCTCCTCATGCTTTGTCTGCCTTGCAATTTGACAGTTTTGGTCCCCATTGTACTGGAAAAGCTACCCTCGCTCTTGCCAGCATGGCCTCAATAATCTTTGGAGGGTAAAACTAACGCCTCTCACATTGCATGTACTCAAGAGATGCACCTTAAGAGTGCACCGGTCTCCTCATTCCCTCTGCACTATGAGCTTGTATTCAGACCTCTCCTCCTATGACCAGAAGGACGTGAGTCCTCGTGTCTGTATCCAGGCACACTGGGGAGATGTGTAGCAAGTCTCCTCTCCTCAGGTCTCGCTGGATGTGACCTTCTGGTCACTCTACCAGTTTAAACAGCAGTAGCAGGGTGCCTCCATGGGACTCCCTTGTCTTTGCTGCATCTCCAGTTTTGGCTTCATCAAGAATCCAGATTAATCTGCATCATGACGGATTTGAAAAATAAAGAAAACAGTTTTATTAATAAATGTTTTCACACTGACCTCTTCCCCCAGGTGCGATCTTCACCACACAGCATCCTCGTCAGGGGGAATCTGCACAGACGCTTCTCACGGCCCAAGCTGCATGTGACTGGGTGGGTAGGGCTGAGGGCATTTTCCCTGGCAGGGGGCACCGCTGGCAGGAGAAAGAACTGGCTGACCCAGTTGAACGGAGCAGCCTACACAGCGGAACAACCTCTAGATGAAGGTGATTACAAGACCTGATTACTGGAGGTTTCAAAACACAGGTTACCCAAACACCTGAAACTGTGTGTTAATGCAGAGCGTGTAGATTCTTGGTGCTTGCGGGAAAGGGAAAAAAAAACCTTAAACACACTTAAAGTTCACAAGAACTGCGCGTCTGATGAAGAACTGCAGAATCTGTTAACACTCACATAGGCAATCTTCCACTCAGCAAGAAGAGCAGTAGATTATACTTAAGGATGGGAGAAAGTGAAAGCGATCCAATGCTTGCAGTCCTCCCTTTGCTTCCCTCCTTGCAGCAGGGAAACCTGAAACCAAGATGAAAAGCCTTTGCGGGCTATTTGAAAAATGCAAACATACACTGTATCAGGAGAGGGTTTAAAGTGCACACTTTTATTTTCTATTACAAAGGCTAAAAGAAGCAAGTTTGTTTTTTATTTAAGAACAAAACCAAAAATGTTGTTAAAACATCTACATTATTATCCTGATACTAGACCTTATGAAAGATACTAAGTTCTTTTTTAATAGTAAAGCGTGGTATTCTTAAATTATATTAATACAAAGACATATTAAAGGACTCGAAATCATTACTACCCAGCTCAGAACTGCAGCATCCCCTTGCTATCTTTTCCTTTCACTTGCTAAAACCCATCCATTTTTGACATACAGTTTCATACAAGCTAAGTAGGGTATTTTTTGTTTTTTTACTTCCCCCTGTAAAGGCCAGGTTAACTCCAACACCAGCGTCACTTAAATCCCTGCCCCTACCAAAGGATTTGGGAAAAGATTTCCACTAAGTCCTTCAGCGTTTAACAAGTTGATCTGAATCAAAGTCTCTCCTCTGTGTGAGCATGTGTGTTCAATTATTTTACAGGATATGAGATTTTCTTCTAACGTTATAAAATTAAAGCGTCACTTCTTTTGTTAATAACCCTCAGATTTGGTGCTGCGCTGCAAAATTTTCTCTCTCCCTCACATGAATGAAGAAAAGAGAGAGTTATCACAGGGTCTCGTGAATGCACCACTAAACAGCCCTACAACTCGTGTCTGATCTGTTGTAGAGCCGTGAGCACTGACCAGTTCTGCTGAGAGTACGTAACGTGCTGAAGAAAACCCTCTTGGCTTGATAAAGCGAGCCTGGGAAGTCAAGCGTGAAGCTTCCTGCCTTTCACAATGTCTCTTTAAATAATATAAGCAAAGCCTTATCATTAAAACTTTACTCACTAGTTAGCAGTATAACGCTCTTTCACTGAGATGGGACTGCGAGGACATCCTAGGGGGTTTCAAAAATGTGAACAGGGAAACCTGTCCCATCTCAAAATTTATACCTATCTATATAAAACCCTCCCCTCTCTGTTATTTCCCTTTCCCTAACCCAAATAAAAGTCTTCATATTTAAACCGGAGATGCTGCGTTTCCTGGCCCGAGTCCTTTTCCTTTACCCTCATTTAAAAGATTCCTTCGATACCACACACATATAGTATTATATAGAGCGATATATTTAATACCTGTGTATATATGCTTCATGGGAGGGGTCACATATATACACACTAAAACAAGTCTGGTGACAAAGTACTGCAACACCACAGACCAGGTTATCATATCAGGGAAAACAAAAAGAGATACTTGACGCAAGCCCCGTGACCGTGGGCATCCTTCACCTCAGGCACGCTTGCCCTCTCCCCGCCTCGGCCCCGCTCCGTCCCTCCGAAGCCCCACTGAGCAGCTCGGCTCTCATCACAGAGACGGGGAGAGGGGACAGCGACCCACTGTAACCTAAACAAGTTATCATATGAGAAATCACAGCGCAGCGAACGCTAGAGTCACACTAGAGATGCAGGTTTGTTTTAAAAATAAAAACCACATTCCGACGTTCCCCGATCCAGATTCACTTCCTTGGCGTCTCTGCCCAAGAAGAGCAGAACAAGATAACCCAGGAGTTGATGTCTACCTCCTCCCCCGTCTCTCTCCGTTTATAAAGTTGACCACTTGAGCACAAGGAGCACCAGGAGAAGGAACAATCCGGGCAGCTACAGCAAAAGGCAGAGGAGAAAATACAGCACCTGACCACTCAAGAACTGCCATGTCTGATACTGCGTTGGTCACTCTCTTTCCCCACAGCACTATGGACCCTTCCTCATCTCGTCCTCCTCCCCACATATGGGCCGAGGTAGAAACAACCGCTTCCCTCCCCAGTTCTCCCAGATCTCTCGTAAGCCATCTACGTATCATCAGATGTTACGGTCCTGGCCTCCTCCAGGCCAGATCTCAAGGTGCTGTACAGCCAAGAAGGGAAGCTCATACCAAACCAGTGACCACCATCCCCATTTTAAAGGAGGGGAAACAAGCTCAGAGGCACATTCAGCTTACTTGGAGCACATAATATCACTGGAAAGACCCAAGACCAGCATGCAGCGCACTCTGCTCCTGGGCCGTAACTACCCCAGTGGAGCTGATGCACCTACCAGGAGGCTGGTTTAGAAAGATGCCAGCTGCCCCCCTGGCATCTCCTGCATTTCCGCATCTCCTGCATTTCCACATCTCCTGCATTTCCACATCCCATCTCTCTTGAAGCTGGGAACCCCAAGGATATGGGAGCAGGGAGGGAAAAGGGGGACCCAGCAATGCCAAAGCACCAAGCAGTTCACGGCCAGATTGTATTTACCACGGATATAGTACTGCCAGCCCCAAGGGCTCTGTATGAAAAAGACATCCCCCACAAAGGCTGGGAAGGAGATGTGTTCGTGTTTGAGTAGATGCATGCATGCACGCATGAAGCTGGGCTGCAGAAGAGAGAAGGAGAGGGAAGCTCAGGACAGGACACACGTTTACTGCTTACAGGATGAGACCGCCAGAAAGGACAAGGCTGGCATACAGAGCAGTACTGCCTCTCACCGCTGCCACTATAAAAGCCAAAAATCCTGGCCCAGAGCTCAGCATCACTGGTTCCCCCATCGTGGTGCACATCAGGTGGGACAGGAGCAGGCTCACAGCTGGGTCCCACTGTGCCACTCACCCTCCACCGCAGTCCCTGCCCTGGGTCGCATCCTGGCTGCACTGTGCGTCCGCAAGCTCCCTGCCCCGGCTCTGAGAAGGAGGGGGCTGGACCTCTGGTTCTGGTAAGTGCCCTTCCAGCTGGATTCCCATCAGCAAAGCATCGCCCATGCTGCTCGATGGTGTCCTTTTAAATGGATCCCCACCCAGTTCTTCTGGCAGTGCAGGGAAAAACGCAGCTCTATAAATAGCCAGTAACACACGCCATTTAAAGAGCAAGATGGGAACCCCCTTACCTCCCTCCCTCTCTTCAGGACACAAGGCAACACAGAAACACAGGATCCTTTTGGTTACAGCCTTCCTCCTGGCTGATACTGCTGCATGGACTACAGTGACGCAGGGTGTGTCACAGTCTCCACTACACCTTCTAGATGGCTTCGGTCTTACTTGCACCAGTCACACCAGCCAAAAAACCAACCCAAAACTACCCACCCTGAATACCTGTCGCACACTGAGAAAGACATCTAATGAGGAGTCACCAGTTTGCTTTCTGGGTACAGTCAGCTGAAACAGCCTGAAGTCACCTACAATCCAGTTCCTGCTGCTGCAAGCAGTTTTATTACTTTGCTGCTTTTAGCTACACCCTTTATACCAGATGGCTGTTACCCTCCTCGGCACCAGTTGATGTTTTAAGATGTTTTAAGCCGGATCTAGTGGTTTTCCTTCTTTTGCACCCCAGTTCCTAATTCTTCTGGTACTGAACTCCCAGGAGAGCAGGCCAGCTGCAGCAGCGTAAGCGGGGCTTGCTCTGCAGCACTGAGAAAAGGAGCACATGAACTTCATGGTCACCTTTTCACCAGATGTCTGCCCCTTTCTCTCAGCTTTGTCCTCCGGACCTCTGCAGCCACACTCCGAATTGAAGAGCAGGAGAATAACACAAGGAGAAATTCTCCGATTTGCAGCCAGTACTGGATTCATTCCTTTGAATGAAGGATAGTGAAAACAAGAAGATGGAGAGGAAGGAGAATTTGTGGTAAAGAAGAGAGAGAAGATGGATCACAAACTCAGTGAGCATGGTGTTCGCTGGCCAAGGAGAATCAAATTCACGATTTCATTCACCACTAATAAATCATCGTCTCATAATCTTAAAACGAAAGAAAAGAAAAAGTTCTCTTTGCGAGACACAGATCTCACTCTCCCTGCTACTGCCACTCTTGGAAAACCCGCCCCGTGTTTCTCCAGCCGACAGGCTCCCCTCCCAACCCTTACTATACGCCATCCCGCAATAGGAAGTTGTATTTCCCGAAGTCGTCATCCCTGGGGCAGAGCAGCATGTCCTTGCGGGCTTTGGCCAGTTTCTGTTTCAGCACCTCCCTCCGGTCTAGCCACTCCGTCAGCTCGTCCTGGCCGTGGGCATAGCGACACTCCTCTCCTTCAGGGCAGGCCTTGCTCTTCTGGAACCTGCCAGCACAAGGAGCACGATCAGGAGGACACCCCCAGGACAAGGTTTTGAGCTCCCTGTCTGGGATACTCCATTGGGGCCCACCAAAACATGCTGCAAACTCTCCTTTCGAGAGAGGGCGAGGCAATTCTCCTACAAACCCACATGCAGCCAGGGAAGGCAACATGGAGGCTGGGCACAGAAACAGAGCAGTGAACAGAGCAAGGTCTATGAGGGGATTTAGTCAACAGAACGAAACAACGTGAGCTGGAACTGGACCAGCAGGGATGAGGAGAAACCACCACACAAGAGAGGAAATGCCAGGTAACAGCCGTGAGAGACAGCCTTCTCTCTAACCAAAACGGCATTTCTAACCATCACAAGTCTTCTGAAAACACTTCAAGGTGCTGATTCAGAGGGTGTGAGACATTCAAACCATTTAATAAAGCACCTGGGATTCCCCCAAGCATCAGGCCAAGCAGACTGTTTAGCAGCCTGGCAGCTGAGAGCACCCTGGCTATGGAGGGCACAGGTGCAGACATGAAGCTTGCTCTCATTTTCTAAAGACACGTGCTCAGAAATGTATTTTTACCACTCAGTAGTGTGGCTGAGCACCTCTGGGATCCAACAGCAGCCTCACCATCACCCCAACCTGTCACCTTGTCCCACTCTTCCTCCAAGCAGAAGTCCCTGGGGACTCTGTGAGAGGAGGAGTAGGTGGTGGTGAAGGTGGAGGGATGACGGAGGCCCGGGGCCTGTCGCCCTGTCCCTGCAGCAGCTGCACAGGAGGGAGATGAGGCAATGGTACCTTTCACAGAGCCGGAACTCGCCCATGGGGAAGCGGTAGCTCCAGCAGCTGGAGTCACTGTCCGAGGTGAAGACCTTCTCCTTGTGCTTCTCCGACTGGATGTGCTGCTGCCATTGCTTCTTGCTGTTGCTGTTCTTCCCGCAGAGCCAGCAGTGGTAGCCCATCTAACCGGTGCAGACAGGGCAAAGGGCCAGTCAGTGCATTAACAGTCACACCCGTCGGCCTTCCCCATACTGGCACTGCCTCTCCCCCTCTCCTTCCAGAGCATCCTGGAAGCTCTGCTCAGTCTACAACCTCCCACACTTCCCTGCCATGTCATCTTCAAGGCATTGTGCTGCCACTAAGGGAGAGCAGAGGAGATGCTTTGTTGAGGTCTACCTACAGCTCAAACGGGCTCAGAGAACAGGACAGCTCAGTTCACTGACACAGTCCCCCTGCCCCTGCTGACGGCCCAGATGGGGTCCGACTGCAAGGCCCCCAGGTGCACAGGCAATGCAGGACTCTTCAGGAGTGCAAACCCTTACACCAGCCACCACCCCTGGACTGAGGAGGCACATCTGCCTCTAGTTTTCCCAGGCCTCTGCGCTCCAGACCCAGCTCTTCTCCAACCTTCTCCCCCTTTTCTGACAGGCCAGCAATGGCTTTGCCAGCTTTCCCAGGAGCACGCAGGAACCCTGGGGAGAGGCTGAGCCACACAGAAGGGAACCTAAGGTAGACTCCTACTGACTTGAGGATTAACAGAAAAGCCATGCAGAGCCTTGCTGACCCCAAGTCAATCCCTTCCCGCCTCATCTGCGCTGCCCTTGCTGTGCTGCTCCAAGCTGTGCATTTAACCTACATTAGCACGGGCTCTTTCCCACAAGAGCAATGCGGTCCCTGCTAGCTCACACCTGGAGCACAGGAGAGGACAGGCTATCAGCACTGAGGAGGAGAAGGAGGGATGAAGGACAAGAGATCAGCTGATTACCATGATGTCAGCGTAGTCGGTGGGCATCTGGATCTGTTTCTCCCCTTCTCGCGAAGTGAGTGGTGTCCCCTCTCCAGGCTTCCCAGGATTGTGTTTCTTTAGCCACATGTCATAGGTCTGCTGCATATCTAGTACTGCACAAAGGCAACCCATGAAGTCACTCAGACAATGTCCCACACCGTGCACAAACTATGAGAAAAGGACGAATGCTGGGACAGCCCTTCCCTCCCCTTTCCTGCACAGCAGCAGCTGCTGTCAGACTGAAGGCCTGTGCTCACAAGGCCTGATGTCACCTCCTCAGATGAAAGCCCAGGGGAGAGGAACCAAATTCACACCACCTGATGTGGAGAGGTGTCTTCTATGAGTTAAGGGGCAACTGTGACAGCAGCTATACAAAGCATTCAGGAAGGAGGGAAGGTGCCCCAAGATCTCCGTGGACTTCACCCCACGAGGTGATTCTCCATCAGGCCTGATTCTGCTTGACCTCAGCAGACATCTCACTCCAGCCACAGCAAAGGCAGGGGCTGGATTCAGATCTGTCCCTTCCCTCTAAGACTATGCTTCATCCTCAGCACTTGAGAGGGAGGAGAGCCCTTAAGCAAGCTGGCCACGGGAAGCACTGGGGAGGGGAGGAATACCTAATGATAGCTTGCCCCAAGTTCAAAACCTGCCCAGAGGAGTGCAGTCAACGTCTCTTGGTGCTTTTGGTTTAAAACCCACTCAGGACACTAGTGGGAAGGGAAATTTTGGCTGTAAGCTTTGACTGCACATCCGCCTTTCCAAGATCAGCTCCTGAGAGAAGCTACGGAAACAGAAATGTTTGCAGACACTGATGCGATGCTGTAGGTGCAATGCGTTAGTGATTTACTCCTCACTAAATGGGTAATTGAGGAACTCAAGGCAATTGGGGATAATGAATGCAACTTCCCCCAAACTGAAAGAACGCTGTCATTTGAAGATTTGCCTTCGTGCTTGAGCAAACACACCCAGACTGTTCTGATGTGCTTTAAAGGCCTCAGCAACAAAATTACTTGAACTGTAACAAATAACAGCGTTTGGCCCAGCAGAGAGAAAGACCCTCCATCCAAGCACAAAGACCAAACAAACTCAGGGCAGGCCTGAAACCCTTCAAGCTTTCCAGCATCTCCCAACAGAGCTAGGTGAGCACCTGGACAACTGGGCCTTGCAAAGAGAGTCTTTTTTTCCCAGCTCACTGTTGGTCTGAATAAACAAGGATTGCTGCCAGAGAGGTGGCCGGCCAGGACATGGGCAACCCCCCAGCTATCCCCCAAAAGCTAAGTTGGGAGCCTGCATAATTAATTCCAGACAAGCTCCTCCACAAAGGCACCACCCAACGATGTTCTCATTCAGGATCTCAAATCCACCCCTTTGAATACAATGCCATGAGCAGGGAGTGCCGCAGCCCAGGAGCAAGGGATATGAGCAGAAATGGGAAAGAAAGCCAAGGCAGATACAAGACAGAAAGAAAGATATAGGAGCAGCTACAGGTCAGGACTGGTGCTTTGGCAGAGCTCCATATGGAGCCAGGCCTGGGACAGTACAGGCAACTGGAAGGACAGCAGAGGGTGGATTCAAGAGCTGCAGAAAGGGAGGGCAGCAATGGAGCAGTGCAAGACATGGGACCAATGTGCACTAGTCCCAGAGCGAGGGACTCAAGATATACATGCACGTTTAAGAAAAGAGCAGCTCTAAATTACTGTAGACAGACCTGCCCCATGATCCCACCTAAGCTCATGGTACCAGCTCTGTCCAGCTCCATCTCTGTTGAGATGGACATTGCCCAAATGTCTTCCTCCCTCTCCCCAGACTCTCTGGCCTATGTTTCCCACACTCACTTTTGTTTTCCTTCATGAAGGTCCACATGTCTCTCTCCTCAGGGCTGTGGGCGAAGGAGCAGTTGCCCACATACTGGCATTTCCTTCCATTTTGTGCATGGATACACAACTGTTAAAAGACAGAGCAAAATTTAGCATCTGCACAAGCACTCCTTGCTAGAGAGGAAAGTGGGTTCAAAAAACCAGCTGGGACATTAAATTGCACACAGGAGAGGTTGCAAACAGGACACTTCATACGTCATTAACTCATGCTTCTTTTCCTCAAGCTCCTGATGACATGAAAGGTAAAGACTTCCCTATAAACATGCAAGCAGCTCAGTTCAGCACCTGGTCTCTCTCTTGTTGCCATTTCCATAGGCGAGCGAGTGCAGGTACGCTTAACACTGGCCCTGGGGGAGACAGCAGGGAGCAACCTGATCCACCCAACAGTGTCTCCTGCTGGTCACGTTGTTGGTCCCCAAAGGTGACTCACTCTCCAGCCATCTCCAAGCAGGTGAAGAGTGGCCTTACAGGTTGCTTAGACCACACTAGCGCGCACAACTTTACCTCACAACTACCAACAGCATCATTGCCAGAGAAAACAAGAAGCTTTCCAGGCATCATATTTACTGATCGTCCCTTCTCCCCCAGTCCTGCCACCAGAGGAGGACAGCAGTGTGGAGACCAGCTGGCCCACACAAACTGCGGGGAAGAGACAACGTTGTTCCTCTCTGGCGGGGCCTGGGTGGGAGCTCAGGTGAAGCATACATTCATATGGCAACTTGCCTTTGCTACACGACCTGTGACTCACCTGCTGGCCTCATCTCCTACTGCAGCAGCTGTAAATAACTCTTGCTCCCCTCCCCAGCTTCTAGCAACTGGCCTGCAACTGAAGAGCGCTCAAGGCCTTACATGTGGCCTTGCGCCTGCCCATGGACTAAGAGGCAGCAGATCCCATAGGGTAGGAGGGAGAGGAGCTTTCTCCTTTCAGGGAGAAAGGAAAGGAGAGGGAGAGAGAAATTATCAGTCACCATATTTGGGGCTGGGGTTAGAGGTTGGATATCTGTAGTTTTCCTCACAGCACCTGTCTTTTTAGTGGAGTTCTTAGTTGTGCTTTCAAAACACACTGTGAGCAAGTTTCACAATCTACGTCAGCACAGCCACAGCAAAGGCAGGGATAGGCTTCTCCCAAGCACTCTGTCTCGCCTCTCACCCACACTGAGAAACCCTGACCTAAGGGGAGACTTAAATCTCATTTCTAAACCCTGTGCCAGCCACTTCTTGAGACAGTGACTGCATTAACAGCAATGTCAGAAACTCGCATACGTGTGTAGAGTGGTTTAAATGGGTGCTGCTCCTTTTTCTGCTCCGCCCTTTTGCTGGATGCGTTTGAGATATTGCTGCCCTCAGTCTGTCCTTGCCTCCCACCTCAGCCAACACGTGCCCGCTTCCCTGCCAGGTCTACAAGGGACCATCCCTCAAAGCACTACACCATGCTGGGAGGGAAGGGGAAGGGGCACCTGGCCGTGCGGGGTGTGGGGCTTACATCATATTGCTGTGGGAAGTTGCGGATGGAAGGCAGTGGTCGGACAGACACCCACTTCTTCTTTGCTTTGGACATCACCAGCAGGACACGACGTTCCTTCGTCCAACTGAAGAAGAGAGAATAAATCAAGAGAGGCAAAAGGAAGAGCAGAACAAGGTTTTGTTTCCCTCAGAGACCCTTAAATATTGAGAGACGACCAGATTCTCCTGTCCAGCTTGTCCCTGCCACTATCTGGCTACTCCTAGACATGCACATCTGTGACACAGAAGCCACAAGAAGGATGTTTTAGGAGGATTTCTCCCTGTACTTATCACATATTTCCTGGGGTATCTCTTCTCATAAAGCCACAAAAGTCTCCCCCAAGTCTCACATGGCATCACCATGTATTACTAAACAGCTGCATTCCACCCTTCGACACAGCCAATTCTTGTGCAATCAGATCCATGAAAAACATTTGGGAATATTTTCTGTTTGAAAGGTGCAGTAGAAATACAAGCCATTACAAGCACTGTCTTACAAACAGGTGCCAGGAAGTATTAATTCTCCTGCAGCTCCAGCAAACGATCACCAGGAGATAGCCTGGGCAAAACCCCCAGCTCTATTCAGCAGCTGCACAAAGAGGTGTTATCCTTCCCGTTCCAGGAAGTGATCCTCACCTGATCACTTCCTCCAGCAACTGCTGTTTCTGTCTCTTTTTCATCAAAGGTCTTACATTTGCAATAGGATGCTGGACTGTGCCTTTGTGGCTTGTGTTATGGGCAGTGAAGTCCTATAAACCCTTCCACCCTATCCTGCCAGGCTGCCTGGGTGAGAGGTGCCACAGTTTCCATGATCCAGTGGTGCCTTCCCAGCTAATACTCCTCTCCTATCACACCGAGCATCCTCACAGGCCCCAAGGAGCCAGAAGGTGCAAACAGACAAGACATGCTTCAGAGAAGAGCAACCAAAGCAATGAAAGAGCCAAGGAAACTAATTTAAAAGGAAGCAGAATACCTGGAATCATTGCTAATAGTGACCTGACAGACATCTGCAAACAGCTAGGAGTATAAACAAGTGCAGAGGAGAACTATCTCAGTGACCTTGCTAAGAAAAAATTATAGCAACTGGGAAAAAAGGGAATTGTGGGAGCTGGACTGCATGCACCAGGAGTAACAGTCTGCACAATGCTGGCAGCAAATACAAACAGTAAAGAAGAGAGCTGGAAACTGGAAAACAGCTATCTGCAATGCTTGCAGTAGTGACAAACACCCCGAGCAGCGAGAGGCTGCTAGGAAACCTTACAGCCTCTTCCAAAGAGGCCAAATGAAGCCCTGGAGAAGGTAAGACAAGAAATTCCTGCCCTTGAGGAGGTGTGGGGGAAAGAGAAGGTTGCATTGCTCACCAGTGGCGGGCTTTGGCACTACAGTACTTGAGGTCTTTATCTGGCTCCACCAGCTGCCCATTCCTCCAGCACTGGCCACACACAAATTTCATCTGGAGGTCAAAGGTGCTTGACGTGGGAGCCCGCGGAGAAGCCTGGGGAAGAGAACCACAACCTCAGGCAAACAGAGCCAAAATGCACCCCCCAAACTGCCACAGAGACACTGGCGGTTCCCCACACGCCTGCGTGCCAGTGACAAGCCAGATTAAATCAGAGACAGCCCAGCTCTCCTTTGCCAATGTTAGCTGGCGACCCATTGAGATACCAGACAGGTGCAAAAACACTGCTTGCTTCAGCATGATTTCCTGGGCTTCGACATCGGGCCAAAAGCACAGCCAGCCTGGCAGCTTCGAGCACTGACCAGGCCTGGCTGCAAAACCCCTGCAGCGTATCTCCATGTACGGACAAGTTTTGCGAGACCTGCCCCGGCGCTTAATCCCCGCTTCCCCGCAGGGAGGGCAATCCACGTCCCCCTCGCTATCCATGGAGAGAGCTCAGTCGCACAGCCGAGAGAGCCCCCTTGGGAGGAGGCCAGGCTGTGCCACAGCACAGGACCCACCACTCCCACTTTTGGACCAAGAAGCTCATGTCACGTCTAGCATTTGACACACTGAAGTCAGAGCTGGGTCCTCTTGTTAATACCATTCAAAGTCATTTCTGGGCAGGTTTCCATCCCTCACAGTTCCTTTGCACCAGGCCTCACAGGCAGTTAATCATGATCTCTAGAAAGAGGTACAACTGTCAATGCACATATTTCATACCCTCAGTCACTTAACTTCATTGGTCTTCTGTCTCCTTGAGAAGGCTCTTTTGGGATTATGACTAACAGATTGTGGAGGGGAAAAAAAATGGAGCCAGTCCCATATCACCACTGCCTCGCATTTTCTGAGCAAATCTCTAGAAAGCCATTTACATTTTGTACCACCACTGGAAGACATGAGGCTGGTGTCTCCATTTCCAAACCAAAGAGCAAACCTGACTGGACGCCAGTGGCCCTGGGCACAGCAGTATGTGAGGGTACAAGCAAGAACCTGAAAGAACACCCTGGTCATCGAGCCGACCGTGAAGCACAAAGGTCATGTACCAGTAAAACAGCTCCCTGACTGCTAACCACATACTAACATTGCTAACCACATGGGCTGCTGCCCATCCCAGCTGCCATGCCTCGACTTCTAACCCTGAGCAGCTAATAACGAGCAGACAGGCAAACCATGTCCCCGAGGAGGAGGCTTCTGCCAGCAATCGATTAGCAGTAGCATGGACCCTATGTGCATCCCTTGGCAAAGGGAAAACAGCAAGCCCAGGTGGTGCAGAATCAAAGCATCTCCCAGGAAACACCACATAAGCTATCAACTACCACTCTGCATCCTCCAGACCCAGTCTTTTGGAGAAGCAGAGATGACATACAAAGGGTCCTCCATCGCTGTGAAAAGCTGACCAGAGAGCTGACCTTTGCCTGTGCTAACTACAAGGGGCCATCACTGCTCTGGATGTCCCAGCAAAAGGACCCTTCCAGAGAACCACCATCTCTCTTGAAAAGCAGCAGCGATTCTGGCCCACTTGCCTGCAGGACAGCCCCTCTGGTGGCATCCGGCATGTGACGCGTTCATCTGTCAGCTTTACCAGTGCTGGTGACCACCAAGTACACATCAAAGTGGCCGGCTGCGGGATGAGCAGCATTGAGACCTGGGATATCACAGAAGGCAGTAAGGTGCCTCCCTCTCAGACGTGTGGCCTTTGAACAGTATTTTTAATCTCCACTTGTCTCCAAAGAAAATTACACTACAGCTCGCCACTGACCCACCAAACCTATAGGCCTAAGGTAACAAAATGGCACTGCTGGCATATTCCCTTTTATCAGCCCAATGCTATCTGCCATATAATCCTCCAGGGACAGATCTCTCAGCACAGCGAGGAAGCTTGGCTCAAATCTACTGACCCAGCAAAATGAAAAATCAAGTGGCTCCAGAAGGCACAATAGATCAGAGATAAAGAAAATGTGTCTCAGGTAATTCTGGTGATCTGGGCTGCTTTTTCCACAAATTCTTAACCAAAAGAAGTCCTGTGCATTTCTTGATCAGCGTCATGCAAACTGCTGGTCAATCCAGTGGGCATGTATGCTCCCAGGGGATTATAAGCCAAGTGAAAAATCAAAGCTGCTGTTGTTGCTGCTACATGACTGTATTTGTAAAGGCAAGACACATACCTAGCAGGCTGCTGATAATCAACAGTGTGGAAATTAGTATCACATGAGGCTCTAGTAGATGAAGCCAGTCAAAAGTGCCTCGGGCTGCGGCACCACCCCTTTGCTATGAAGCCAGACAATATAGTGTTAGCTATGCACCATGGCAACCAAATAAATAAAAGTCTTTGGCACGACAACTCTCCACTTCAGGCTTTGCAGAAAGCAACAGCCCCTGCACGGCCACTCGTGTCTCACAACTTCAGGAACCCCTCTCAACAATACTGAAATGCTCTCTGAAGGAGCCACATGCCTCGGGGGACTATACGAAGAGCCCAGGTTACTCAGCCACCTAAACGAGTGAGCTGTACTTAGGTGCAAGCACCCCTTTATTAGAGACTTTCCTTTCCTCTCCATGCTTAAATTGCTAATTCTGAGGCCAGTTTTTATGGGGGTCCTGCAGCTGGCTAGTAAGGTAAAACAGAATAGCCCTCGAAAACCAGAAAAACAGAGGGCTAAAACCCCTCAATTCCTAGGGATACGATGGCAGTTGAGGACACCCAGCTACCTACAACAGTCTCCTGCTGACTGCCTCTTCCACCTGCAGCCACTGGGTTTACTCCTACAGCAGCCTCCATGGGGCCAAATTTGTGGGGCCAAGTGCAAGACCCCTGGCAGGTGTTTAGCAAGCAGTGTATCTTCATCTTCCACTTGTTGCTAAGTCTCCTGACCTGCATCATCACAGCTGCTGAGTCCTTGTATGCTGCCTGCCTCTTTTCTCCACAACTGGATAGCCCCAGCGACTGAGTCCAACTGGCAGCTGTGACAAAATTGCAGCAAAATCCCTGGGAGCGACTTTGCTTCCGCTGACCAGAGGGCGCCGGGGTGAGTGTGGATCACACGGGATGGTGGGAAGGAGGGGTCTGCTTTTATAGCACTCCTGGGAAGTTGTCTTTGCCAGGCAGCCAACTTGGAAAGCTGGAAGGACGCTGAGAAAACTCTGAGTCATGTTAGCCTGCTTGGACGAGAGAAAATAATGGCAAAAGTAAACACCTCTCAACAGATACGTTAGTCCTGCCCCCGGGGTCTTCGGCAGCAAGCCAGTGTCTCATCCCGGAGCACAGCCCTCTGGCTGAGTACGTGCTGATGCCACAGCCACGGTTTGCTATTGCAAACACATCCATCTGACCAACTTGACTGTCTCCCTGCACAGTGCCAGTGCCAGGCTGCCAATCCCTACAGACAACTGATGGTGCCGCTGGTGGGCACTTTCTGACTGTACCAACAAGGCTGCTGCTTCGTCTCCACACAAAATGATGCCCTGGAAGGGTGGACGGTGCGGTCCAGCTCTGCAACAGGCATTTGTGGGGCACACCCAGACTTTGCCATTGGCCATCAGCCCTAACACTGCCCACAGGGCCCAGAAACTGCAGCACTCTGCCCATCCCCTGACAGCTGATGTAGCAGGTGCTGGTGTTTCTCTTCCTGATCCTTTGCCCCCTGCAAGCCCCAACAGCCAGAAACGAAACCCTCTCTCAGCATCCAGATCCCACGTGCTTCAGAGGACTCGCTCTCACCATGCTCACTGAACAACTTGTTCTTCCAACAGCAGCACCTCCAGACAAAGGTGAATTTGAAGCTGCAAGGCTTACAGGAAAACAGCTGTCCATCTATCTTTTTTTATCCCCAGATTATGCACAGAGAATGTCAAGACAGAGCTTTCTGGAAAATGCAGGCAGATTCACAGAAGGCAGGACAGAACCAGTCACTAGACTTCACTCTCCATGGGACAGGGATTGCTGATATAAATCCAAGTACTGTCACCAACTGCTGCAAATTCACACTTAGTTTCCTCCACTGTGGAGATGCAGGCAGCTGCCTCTGTCCCCACACCAGGTAGAAAGAGATCATAGCCAGCTCTGTCTGCAGGGACCATTCAGATCATTCAGGCTCACTTCTCGTATAATACAGGCTGTAGAAACCTGTCCTCTCAGCTTCCTGAGAGGCTAGAACATATTCCTTAAGCGAGTCAGACGGCTTTGGGAACTAGAGACCTTAGTTACTCTGGACTGCTGCTTCTCTTTCCCCTCCCCCAACCATTTCAGACCACAACAGCAGAACAGGCCGCACAGGTATGTTGCTGAGCATCTCCTCAAAGATTACTCCATCTCATGCAGCATAACCAGTACATAGGTGGACACAGAGTCCACTGCAAGCATCAGTGCAGTCACCTGCATGTTTCCTGCTGGGCTAACCCATGCCTGTCAGACCTGCTTTTCCCCAGCACCAGTGCCCTACAGCCTTCAGAACACTTCTGCTGGCCCGTAACCTAGCCAAAAAAAGCAGCTACACACCACGTGAGTGACTCAGATCCCCTTCCTATAAAACACCTCCTCCGCAAGGTGCTCACAGGCTGCACTCAGTGCTGGTCTCTGCAGAGGGACTCCTGGGTGAGAGGTCCCAGACAAAGGTGAAGCACCCTTGCTCTGACAGTAAGGCACAGGCCAAGGGGTGGCAAGCTCAGGCCTCCACAAGGGGAAAGAAAGCTGTCAAGTGGGAACAAAAAGGATTCACACCACTTTCCCCACCATTTTGCGGGGGACAGAATTGCTCCTATGCCTCAGAGCTTGCTATGAGGCATGAAGTTTCTCATCTCATCAGACATATCTTCCGAAAGTGATTAAAGAACAAAAAACTCCCTGTTCTAATGGCAAAACTGCTTTAGTTCAACCTCAGGGGTGGGCTGGGAATCGTCCTCACTGGGTGGGCTCTGCTCCTACACTACAGAACACCCCCTTGGGGAAAAAAGAGGATAAGGCAGTGACACCTGTAGCCAACAGGTTGGAAGAAAGCAAACAAAGAGGTGCCCTTTGCCTTTAACACATCTCTCCAGAGAAAGCTCTTGGCAGTGCTGGAGGGTGCAGCCAGAGGCACCTTCTCCCACACTGAGAGACTAGTGGCACAAAGAGAGGCAAAGCTCACAGCCTCCTCCTGGCAAAGCGCCACCAAGATCTCTGCCCAGCCTCAACAGCACCTGAGCTGCAAGTTCCACCCACTCCTGCATTTAGAGCAGTCCTGTGGGTCATGAGTCATTTCTTACAGTCCTTCGAACTGCTGTATCGTCCCTTGGCCACTACAGGGCAGCAGGACACCTTTGGTCCCCACTCTGTGTGGCCACGGTCCCCGAAGTCTCCCGATTTCACTAGCAAGGTGTCACAGGAAGCACCATTCTCTGCGCATTGCCCTCCCTGCTCTGGAGGCTTCACCCCACCACTGAACAGAGCAGATAACAATGCTGCAAAACAAGGCACAAAGCTCATCACTAGCACTGCAGCCAGGAAAGCTCTCAGCTGTCCTCCTTCTCAATGGGCAGCCTGGTCTGCCTGGGACCTGTCAGGCACAGCAGTGGGAGGAAAAGAGAGAAAGTGCTGGAACAGTTGGGAGCAAAACCAGTCTGCAAGCCCTAGATGCACCTTACTTACCATGCTGTTGGCTGGTTTGCTGGCATGTGCCTCCATCTGCTGCCAGTACTTCTTTGACTCCTGCACGATATCTTCGTGGGTCATTCCTGGGAACAAAAGGAGGCAGGACTGAGCTACCCTGCTTTGGCCAAGAGAAAAGAAGGAGGGAGGGGTTGCAGGACTTCCTACTTTGGGGCTTAGGAACCCCTGTGCGGCTGACAGCTCCCAACGGTCCCACTGGTAATGTCAGGACATGGGTTGTGAAGGGACCCACCACAGAACATGTTTAAGCACAGGCTAAGGAAGCTCTTCTCTCCACACAAGCCAAACAAAAGGGGAAGAGTTCGGTATCCTGGGCTCATTCAGACCTGGCATTCTGCTCAGGCTGTTTGCAAAGGACCCAGATGCTGCCTCCAAGATGATGATTTTTGACTAGGGGTCAAGACCTTGACCAAGACTGTCCCCAACACCATGTCAACAGATCCGACCCAAGGCCCTGAAGACAATGCTTTGTTACTATTGATCTACTGTATATTGGAGTTTTTGCCACTAGCTTGGAAGATCACAGATATCCCACTGAGACATCTAGCATCTCCAAGACCCCAGAAGTCTCACCTAATCCCTGCTGGAATTAATTAGCCTGTTACACACTTCAAGTCGTGGGGGCTGCCCATCAATCAATAGGCGGAAAGGAAAGTTGAAATTCAACACAGACAAACACCAAGTGCAACCAAGGTAGCAAGGAAAGACCCAAAGTGCAAAACCAACCAAGGAACAGCTGCTAGTATGTAACCAGCAAGGAAAGTTCTGCAAGGCTTCAGGAATCAGAAATGCAACATCAGACAACAAGAAAAAGGGTTGGTCAGACCTTATCTAAGGAATTAGCTTCTGACCAACTCAAGTGGCGAGGGAACAGCCCAGGCCAGCATCAACCAGCTAGATGGGCGCTACAATTCTCAGAGAACTAATCAGCAAGAGAAAAGTATGTAAGAGTAGGAACTGTCTTGTCAATGTGAGGACTCTGTTACAGAAAAGCCATGTTATTTAAGCGCTATAAAGACCCGACATAGCTGCCAAAAGAAACTGAAGCAAGTATCTTACAACAGCCAGCTGACTGTAACAAGTGGGGTGCTGAGGATGGCGTTGATGCAGCACCCCCAGCACAGAGAGGCTGCAAAATTGCTTGCTTTGCTTTTGCCTGCAGCTTTTATCATTGAAGTGAGGTGTTCCCCAGGCATGCCACATGGACACAATCTTTGATCTGGGATCTGGCATGTTCCAGAACTTCAGGGCCAGCAAACACAAGTTTTCATCTCAGCTTAGGCTGTAACTTGGGTAAGACACAGCATTCCTGACCTCAGTTTCCCCATCTGTGATTTCAGCTGTCCAGCTCCCTGCCAGGCAACAATACTGCTGTTTGTACAGGGTTTGGACAGGATGAAAAGCATTCAGGGAACTTTACTATTCTTCAAGAACATTTGCTCAGGCCTCCAAAATGGCAGCTGCTGCATAGCTGGTACTACTCCCAGATCAGAGCTGTTTGTGGATTTTCTCCTTCTTAACCATTAATCCCAGAAGAAACTGTGTAGAGTTAGAAAAACTGCAACTCCCTCTTCCATGTCCAAGTAATCCAGGGCTGGATACAACACTGATCTGTACTTTGGGGACAAAAACTACAAAGCTGAGAAAACCACAGCAAAAAGTTAATGTGCTGCACTGGACCTGGCAGAGAAAGTGCTGAAGCAGCTCCCATCTTCTCCATTCTGCACACCTGCACTGTGATCCTCGGGGTGCAGAACCAATGGGAGAAGCATATACAGCTCTTGTCAGAAGACTGAATTTCAAATGAAGTTCTTAACAAGTGACTGTTTTTTCCAGTCCCAGAAACCTGAACTAACTCAGCAAGACGGTCTAGAAGTGTGGTGTTTGGGAAAAAAAAACCTCCCAAACATGAAAGGATGTTTTCCAATACACCAGCTCTCCAAAGCATGAACTGTCCCAAAGAGATGATCTGGGAACCAAAAGGCCCATGTGTTGATTACTTATAACATTTCAGCATCTTTTGCAACATCATTAGGAGGACAAAGACTCTGTGATTTCCACTGATGGAAGAAGATAGCAAGATATGCCTGTGAAAAGCCACAGTGAACAAGAAAACAGTCCTGCCTGTCCACATTTTCAGATCTTGGGAACCTTTACTCCACTAATACAATCCTTTATCCCCATGAATAAAGCCATAAGCTCTGTAAAAGCTCAAATGGCTGTGAAATGCAACAGCCCACTGGTTTCAAATGCAAGCTGCTATGAAGCCCCTTTCTTGTTCTTGCCGAGCAAATGGTGCCCAAATCAAACTGTCTGCTCCAAAGCTAAAGCATTCCCAGAGAATGGCGACAAATACCTTTCATCTCTGTTTCCATAATGAGGGCTACACTTAAGAGAGGTAATAAACTACCACTCCAGGAAGGCAAACTCACAAGGAAAGCAGGCTCATATATACAGCCCTGCAGAAAAAAAACCCAAAAGATGATGGTTCTCTCATTGTTGGAAAGATGGGAATAAGCACAAGGCTTACTCACCACCTCTGCAGCTAAACTCATGGCTTGTTTCATCTCCTCAGCTTCCCCTTTGGAAATCACTTCTTCAAGTAAAGAAGGCAAGAAGCAAAAATCAATCTAACCATTTCTTCTACAGGCTGAAGAGGAAGGAATAGGGAGGGAGGGAAGGAGGGAGCAAAGAAACTTTTTCTGAAAAAAAAACCACTGACAAAAATAAACCAACCATGGGGTGGAGAAAAGAGCAAGGTCTTTGAATATTAGAGTGCCCAGAGTACTACAGGCAGTATCATAAGCATGTAGGGCAGCAATGGTGGCCTATGGCTCACAGGCAACATGCTGTCTTAGAAACTCTGGTGGTGTAATTTTTTAATTTCCTGTGGCCACAAGTAAGTGAGGCCAAACAGGAAGAATAAAAGATGTCATTTGCCACAGTGTGCTACTTGTTCATCACGGTCCCTCATGAGTCAAGCCAAGGCCAAGGACTGCAGTGAACAACAGCGACAGGCATTTGAACAATAAATTAAAGAAGTTGCCCCCAATTACATCAAAGAATGGTGAGAAACATCTGTAACGTGTTTCCTCTCTGAAGTACTCCCATTACCAGGCCAAGTCCTGCACTAAACAAGACGATGTGGTGAAAAAAGATGTAGGTAGCATTGTGGGTGGACCAGCATCTACTTGGTTAACAGGAGAGCAGCAAGAGAAACCCTCCAACATGTCGGGGAGAGAGAGAGAGGACTGAGAGTGCCAGATGTGGTAGTGTCATTATATGAGTGACCTGAATATAATTTCTGCAATAGCCTCTTCAGAGGTATGTCATCAAAGCCTTTTTGGGAAACACCAAGTATCTTGTCATTTCCCACTGTTGGTGAATTTGTTTAGAGAAAGTGGAGATGCACAGCCTTACTTTATATAACTGCTTTGTCACCTGCCCATGCTGCCATTCTCACTGTACCAGATGCTCGCTCAGGAGCCCAATTGCTATTTAGGGTCTTGCACAGGATTTAAGCACCGAAACGTCTCTGGGGATTCAGCCCTACCTAATAATCATTTCAACTTCTGCAGCTGGTCCCAAGGCAAAGGCTTCCTGGTCTGCAAATTACAGTAGCACATGTAAAGGGACAAGGGCCAAATCATCTCACAGAACACCTTGGCCCTCTTTTCTGTGTCCCTGAGGAGACAGAGTAAGTATATGCACAAGTCAGTGACAACTTCTCAGTACTCCCAAATCACACTCTTCCCCTCTCAACTGGCCCCAGGTACACTGGAGGAAACTCGGGTGTACACATCACCAGTCCTGCACCAAGCCACGCTCACCTGAATATTGCTGCAGCAACCAGACCTTGAGCTCGATGAAACTATGAGCAAAGTGGCAGCTGTCCTCGCGCAGGCAGCCATAACGCACCTCATGTCGGCACACATCAAACTGGAAGTGCTCCTGGAACTGGCGGATCTTGGAGTATTTCAGGGAGGTGGAACGCACAATGTGGACCAGACACCTGCAGCCAGTCCGGAGAAATATGAAGCACCAGAGGATCAAATCTTCACCCCCCTCCTCCTTACATGTGACTTTCAGACATTTGACTGGGCAGGCAAAGGACACGGAAAATCAACTCTGGGAGAGGCAGACTCCCACTAGGAAAACCAAACCCCTGCCCTCCCAGGTAGGTATTTTCAACCTAGGTAGGTATTTTCGATCTCCTCAGCCCATGGGTGATGCTCTGCTTAAATTCAGAGATCAGACACATTTCAAAATATGCAGCAAAAATACCAACTCCTCCGGCTCAGCAAGTCCCTAAGTCTCAGGTTGCCAGGAACCAGAAGGCGTTGTATTACTGTGTACTTGACATGTTTCTTATACTTGTTTTCCTAAACGTTCATTACCAGCCAGTCAGAGGCAGGATCCTGAGCTGGAGGATCTTTGGTTTGACCTTTATGTAAAGGCCAAACTGAAAGGCAAATTAAGTCAATGGAAAACTTAGGCTGACTCCAAAGGGCTTTGCTGATGCCTGAAATCCCTCAGCACCAGGAGCAAACACTCAGGGTGAAGCACACAGTGATATTTATCATGCTTTGATCTGCCCTATGATTGGAACCTACGGGGAGGAAAGAAAGAAAGAAACCAGGGCCCTGGAGTTAAACTGGCTGGACTTGTGAGAGATTGCTCCCACCAGCACAAAAAATGTTCACTCACTTGTTGTCATGGAAACTGTGTTTGGCAGAAAGGTTGGAGCAGACAGATGGCGTGTCCTTGGTCCCTTTGCTGATAATCCGAGGTTTGCTGTCAAAGCAAATCTGAGAAGAGAAGAATTAGCATACTGGGAAAATCTTAGAGAGCAGTGAATCAGAGCCATTTCACTTGGAAGGGGAAGAAGAACCAGAGCCAGCCTATTCTAATGTTCAAAGTTAAAAGAAGCCTGATGAAAACTTTGTGGTAGTGCTTTAAAATAAAGCAAGCGAACTTTTGGAAAGGCTTCCGGACAACATTTTTTGGCTTATTCTTAACAGTATTTTCCATTGTGGTTGGAAACATTTTGGTCAGAGCCACATATTCTTTCCCAGTTAGCCAACAGAGCAAGAACAAGGGGGAAACGATGGGGAGAAATAAAAGAACAGCCAGTTCACAGCAAAGAACATGTCCCTTTACATATACCACTGCCAGTGTGGGGAACTCTCTGCTGCAGAGTATCAAGATGGTACGAGCCAATCCTTAACTAACTGACTCAGTGGCTCAGCACAGACATCAAGTGGGAATTTGTTGCATTACGGGGTTCTGATTTCTAAAGTAGCTGGGGCTAAATTACAATTCAAAGCAACATCTCAAGACAGAGGAAGAGACAGGTGATCCCATGAGGCTGTGTGCACCTGGTTCAGCTGCAGGGCTAAGGAGGAAAACTACCTCTCTTTTCTCCTACACAGCTGCATCCACTGCTCACTGCCCTTCTGGGAGCAGGGCACTGGCTGGGACATACAGAATCATAGAATCATTTAGGTTGGAAAAGACCTTTAAGATCATCCAGTCCAACC